TCAATATTTACATCTTTAGGTAAATCTATTGCTTCCACATGATTAGACAAGTATTCCGAGAAAAATAGTAATTTGTCTTTTAAACTAATTTTGATAATTTTCATTTTAAATTTACAATCTGTTTAAATTATCCATAGTTGTCTTAGGACGCATTAACCTAATAATATTCCTGACATCTTGTGATAGAGTCAAGTTCGGTAACCTAATAATAAAAATCCATATAAGGGGAAAGTATCATTTTGAAATTTTTATGTAATATTTGAAGTGCAATGTTGACGGACTGAATGAAATGGGTAATTTGAAGATCATGTTCTTGATTATAGAGTGCCATGAGGCCTCCCCGTGGCTATTCCTATACAGGTGTCAAATTACAGACTTAACCTAACACTATCCTAGAGACTCCCGCATACGTACCTGGTGGCTTTTTTCTTAACTAAAAATAATCTTTTAATTTTAAAATGACATTAAATTTGAGAGTAATTTTTTTAATTAAATATCAAAAATTGACATTAGCACTAATTTAATATTACACAAGAGATGCTCTGACTAACTCGTAAAAATATATAGCCGGGGTACTCTAGATGCTCTTCTACTTGTTTTTCAATATCAACTCGCTGGAAAAACTACTTGTTATTTTTTACTTGAAGAATGTCGTTTAATATTTGTGGAAACCATGCACACAAATTCAAAACAAGAATTTATTTGTTAAGTTGGCATTAAAAATGGAGTATTCCTACCAAACCATTACCAAAGGAGATGATCGTCTTTTCCTGCACATTAACCAGTTATGGTCGTATGATCATAAGTTTCACTCTAACTAAGCATGGGTATATATGGACCACTGTTTTAGAATGTCAATAATTTCTAGATTAAATCAAGAAAAGCCATGGAGAGATGAACAACCGCGCTATTGTCATCGCACGATCTCATTAAAAAATTGAAACAAGAAACTAGAAAAATGTGAAGCATTTCTAGATTATAAAAAATAAAAAAGCATACCGAGCAAGGAAGTTGGCCAATCAAAAGAACGAAGGTTTCATAACGTTGGATCTTGGAAGAAGAAGGCGACTGAAGATTTCTTAGAAGAACTTTTTGTAGAGCATTTTGAACCATTTTATTTTCATAAAATTTCGTCAAATGATCATAATTTTGTGACGCTTTAAAACATATCACATTTGACAAGTTTTTGTTTATATTGTATTACAAATTCTTCAAAGAAATAAGGGAATAAGATGGATATATAAAACCAATTTGCTAATAGTTAGACACAGAAAAAAATTTAAAAAGGTGGAAGATAACAATTGAAATTGTAAAAGTACAGTATCAATTGGTGATCAGAGAGAGCTGTTATAGGAGTTTATTCTAATTAATGACGTACTGGTATGGTTACTTTAAAAATTGTATGTGCCATTGGATTCAAATCTCGTTATATCAATGGTCAAATTTACCTTTATCACTACCAACTATAGCCCATGGTTAGGGTCGGCAATTTCAGACACGACACAATAAAACGATACAAAAATGACACGAGATAAATAGATTTAGACTGCACGATTATTAATTAAATCGTTAACAGACTAACACGAATAACACGAAAATAAATAGATTAGATTCATACCAACCCATTTAACACGCTTAACTCGTTTAATTATACGAGTTGTTATTGATCCTGGCCCGTTTATTAAACTCATATATATATATATATATATATATATTTAAACAAAACCCTACTTCTAAAAAAAGTAATGATGACTTTATAACTAAACTCCACCACGGGGGCTTTTTGGCAGATGGTGAAGACTGAAGAGCTAAGGCTCTGTTGGTAAAGTTTTTAAAAACAAACAATAATATTTTTTTTTGTTTTTGTTTTTCATTTTTAAAAACAATACAAAAATTGCTAAAAACTAGAAAGAGACAAGGAGATGTCAAAGTAAAGAAAGAAGACAAATTATACAAAACCCTCTCATTTGGACATATGTTCGAACAGTTGGCATGTGCCGTATGGGCACGCTAGGGCAGCAAAGTAGTATGCAACAGGATTTATCAAGATCCGTTTAGTTCATTGATTCGAGTTTTTAATTTGAGTTAAAATATAATTTTATGTGAGAATTTTACACTGTAATAAAAAATTAGATGTGATTGTTTCTGAAAGTTTTTTACTATAGTAAAACTCGAATTCTAAACTCGAGTAGGTAAAATGAACGATGCCTTATTTTATTTCTATTTACATGTACTTGTCAGAATTAGAAGGGAAAACAATAGGAAAACGAAGAAAAATAATCTTTCATGCCTTATGGAGGAGATTTTTGTGGCATTGAATCTGTTCTGAAGTTTTTTATTTTTGAAGTATAGATATATACAAGAGTTTAAATAATTATGGTTGAGTTTTAAAAATTCTTGTAAAACTTTTATGAACGAAACTCTCCGATTTGAGATTTTAATACTTTTTCGTGTTCTTAAAAAATGACAGTTATTAAGTAATAAGAGTCATTGACATTTTATCCGCTTTCTCGCTTTTAATTCTAGCAGTTAATCTCAAACTTAATAAACTATTACAATATGACCCAAATTAATAACATTGCTTAAAATGGTGATGAAAAAGAGATTGATTATCAAAATTAAAAGTAAAGAGGACAAGTTTTTAAAGCACGAAAAGTTTGAGAAAACTGTAAAGTGCTAAATATGTGAGACGCATGCGTGTATTTATTTCTATTAACAATTTAAATAAGTTTAAGAGAGTAAAATATCAAGATTTAAAGCTCATGAGCCAATTAACTAAATTAAATAAAGGTTAGGGGCGATGGTGTAGGGTCAAAACCCAAAAAAAGAAAAACCTAGGCGGCCATATCCCTAATTTTGGAAAAGAACGGTTGTTTATTTACTGAAATTAGGCCCTAAACGTGGTCAATTTTGCTGTTATCCCAAAAGAAAATTTGTATGCAATTTCTTGATCACATGTATCATATGAATGGCAATGAGGGTGAGTTTAGTTATAAAGTAGGGGAATGCCAATAAGAATCGTTAAAAAATTGGAAAAAGAAATCAATGCTTTACCTTGGTTGGAAGTTTGAATATGTTATAGAATGGACTAATTAGTTCTCCTCTCAAATTTCATTCCGACCTGTCATGACTTAAGCCTTTTAGTAGCTCAACTTCCTTCCTTATTAGAGAGCCTAGAGAAGAGGGGAAAAAAAGGATAGAGGCCAGGTGAGAAGAGAATGATAACTCTACATGTAAATTTGATCTGAAATTCTATAAATGTTAACGTCGCCATGATCTCTAACGGTGACATGTTTCGGTCTGATTCGAGTTTTTAATTTTAATTTTACTATAGTTAAAAGCTCTTATAAAAAGTCACATTTGACTTTTTTTGTTACAGTAAAAAGTTCTCATATAAAATCTCATCTCAACTCAAATTTAAAACTCGAATCAACGAACTAAACGAGTCCTTAGCGATTTCTCTTTCTGGCATTGATTTTTTCAACTATATGTCCTCACTGAGTTTATATTGTTTTTTAAAATCTTTTTTATGATATTTTTTAGCCGATTATTTTAGTGTCATAAATTCTATAATATGATGCTTTTTTTTTAATTGATTCCCATAATAATTCTGATAGGTAATTGACCAAATTGTTTATCGGTACTGCTAATAATCTATTTTTTTAAATGCTAATATTCTACTAAATTATTCTTCAACTACTGGCTTTGGGGATTGGAGCCGGAGATTGGAAGCCATTTTTATTTAAAGGGTAAAATAATTTGGTATATTAATATGCCCGATCAGTATTAAACAATTGGAGACCAACGAGTGTATGGTTTTTTTTTATTAGCATGGCAATTTAGCTCCGGCTCCGCTCACGATGAGAGAGAGTGGGAAGGAGGGAGAGAGAAAAGGTGGGAGGATATGATAGGTGAAGGTAGTGTTTGTTTTAGGTGTCTTAGGTAGGTAATTTTAATTGAGGATAATTGTTGGTCAAATTAAACACATTTGTAAAAGGTGCACGAATCAAAAGTATACATAACAATGGTAATAAAAGATGAACAGTGGCACCGTTTGTATATGTTGTCGCGAGTTCACTACACATCAATAGAGCCAACTAGAGGATCAAGTTTAGGTGGCTCGGCCTCGCCTGCAAAAGACTTGGGTCGAACCACAAGGTCACGTGAACATCCTTTTTTTCTTATTTTTTTTCTCTTGTAATTTTAACAAATATTCCATAAAAATACATGAATTAAAATTTTTATCATTTACTCTTACACTAACAAAAATATATTTATCAAGAATAAAAGATAAAGATCCAGACTCTTATACTCTTATGGATAAATTTTACATTTTTTCTTTTTCTCTTAAAAATATCTTAAAAAGCTTTGAAGTTGGGCTTGGCCATCCCTCCCTTTACTCAGGGTAGACTGACCATGCTCGATTTTCCTGTTCGGGTCGTCACGCTAGAGTTGGGCAGCCCGAACTTGTAGCTTTAGAGCCAATCTCAGTTGGATTTGACTCCCACCCGTTAGTTAAAAAAGAAGGGGGAGAGACTTACAATAAGCGCCCAATGTTAACACTAACAGTAACGTCCTTTGAAAAAAAAAAAAAATTCAATAAAGCACCTGTAGAGACTTGCATTAGGCGCCAAATGTCAATAGTAATTTCCTTAATAAAGAAAGAACAATGCTATAGAGAAGCACTAGGGTATTAAATACCACTCATTAATAAAATGTAGACCTTACATGCACATGTAAGACAAACTTTTTATTAGTGGTAATGTATAGCACTCGCGGTCCCTCCGACCAGCATTTTCCAAAAAAAAAGAAAGAGCAGTAGAAGTCCTTTAAACAATAGGAGAATTATAATTCAAAATTATTATTAATTTACGTATATTTTTTATGAGAAAAAATATTATAACGAGTCACGAATCATGACACGAATTTTTGAACCAAACGTAACATAAAACTTGCTTGTTAATTTAAACCCCGTGTCAACTCTCAACCATTTCCTCACAAAGAACCATTCTCCGCCACGTATTGCTTCTCCACCGTTACGCTCGCAGTCGCGTTCGCTGCTCTGTCTAACTTATCTATTGCGCTGTCGGGCTTTATCCGCCATCTCTTCGTGCTTCTCCACATTTTGCATGGGTATGGACGTTATTTTATGCCCCGAAGAAGCATTGATTTTTTTTTTTTTTTGTTGAATTCTCAGCAACCTCATGCGTGTTTGCTTCGTTTATGGTAGCTTGGTTTCAGTTGTTTGATTTAACCTTCTTGGGTTGCTGAGAAAACGGATATAAATTTTGTGTAGTTAAAGCTTGGTTTAAGCCCATTAAGTGTTTGTTAAAATGCTTATGCGGTGAAAATAAGTATTTTAACTTGGCTGTTTTCTTCCCTTCCTTTTCTTTCCCTTTTTTTTTTTTTTTTTTAAGTGGGAATTTCGTTCTAAATGTTCTGGTTCAGTTTTGTATTGGATTTGTGAGTCTTGTGTTTGAGATGGGAAAATATAAAATCAAGTTTATGAATGGAAGGGATTTAACTCTTTTATAATGAGAATAGGATTTAGGAGCTCATTTGGATAAACTATTAAAGAGTAACATAATTTTATATTGTTTTTGGAGATTCAAAATCTTTGGTTATCCCAACAAGTAGACAGAACTTTGAAGTTTCGGTTGTTATTTTTTGCTATATCAATGTTGTTTGAGGTTGTCTTATTATAGGTGGTCATTCCACTGCAGAAAATTGTTAAATTCTTTAATTTAGAGCGAATAGATTCAATTCAGATAAAGATGGTGTGGAGTAACAAATCACTTGCCCTTTTTTTTTCGTTCGTCATCAATAACATTTTTTTGGTGAAAATTTCAAACTTATATCATTACTGAATAGGTATAAAATAAAAGGATATACACTTTACTACCAATAATGGAAACACAGAAAGGGAATATTGAGAGGGAAATTAACCAAATTTGGTGATTGTTTCGTTGCTTCAAATGAGTTTCTGACCTTAATTCCTCTGTTTCTTTATTTTATTTTGTTTTATTTGTTTCAAAAAGAGGGGTTTACTGTAGTATCCCGATTGAATGTATCATAAGTTTGTAGAGGAGTAATTAATATCTTAGTAATCTTCCTGTTTTTTTGTTGTTCATTACTCATTACTGTTAAGTTTACTTTTTAATTATTTGCTTTGTATTGGGTAATTTTTGTTTTATTGGTTTTTGATGGGTGGGTGATGAATGTAATATAGATATGGGTTTGAGTTAGTTTTTATAGCATTATTCCAGTTATGAATGATTAACACTGATCTATTTGTCTTTGTTTATGCCTCTTTTTTTTTTGCTTTTTTTTTTTTTTTTTTTTTTTTTTTTTTTTTTTTTTTTTTTTTTTTCTTTGAACAATTCTACCTGTCGTTCAGGCGCTGACCACTGATGAAGAAAGGGTGGCTGGAGAAGAGGGTGATATACCAAGCAACATTAGAGGTATTCTCTTCATTCAACCATTTATTTTTTGCATAATTAATTTTGATTATATATGATGTTAGAGGTTGTTTGTGATAAATTTTGAGCTATGCTTTTTTAGATATTAATAAAGGAATAAGCTTAAATCATTAGGGACAATAGATTAATAAAGCTGAAAGTGCAACAGGTAATGGACTGGTTTGAAAAGTGTAGAATGGTTGACATGACCGGCTAACTGGAATTAGAAAATAAATAACAGGAGCAGCGAGTTGGATCTGATAACTGAAACCGAATGAATTAAAATAAAATATGGACTATTTCAATGAACTGAAGAATAATAGAAATTAAATGGACAGAAAGTAAATTGAATAAAATGTAAAGTGCTATAAGAAATAAATAAAGAAATAAAAGCTAAAGTAAACAAACATCAATCAGATAAATTTATTTGAGAATTTTATATTCTGATTCTACATATAATACCAAAAACATAATTGAAATTTGGGGTTTGTAGCTGAACAGCTCATTGACTAAATTCTTGACATTGTGTAATTTCATTTGAACTCTTTAATTGTTTTAAATGAAAGAAATAAAGAAATAAAAGCTAAAGTAAACAAACTTAATCAAATTAACAGATTTTATTTGACAACTTTATATTTTGAGTGTACATATAATACCACGAACATAATTGAAATTTGGGGTTTGTAGCTGAATTGCTCTCAGACTAAATTCTTAACCTTGTTTAATTTTATGTGAACTCTTTGATTGATTTAAGAAAAGAGAGAGAAATGAGATGATATGTGGAATTGGGACTTAGACGGTTGGAACAAGAGATTTTCGGTTTCTGTTTGGATAAGAAGTGAAAAAGAAACGACTAAGTGGGTGGTGAGAGAAATGAGAGTGGTTGAATTACAGAGGCTGGTCTGTCTTTTCCTTCTCAAATTGGCTGAGTAGGTTGGTATTTATAGACTTGCTAACCTAGGAATCTCCAAAACCCAGCCCATTGGAATCTAAGGTGGTTTTTTAAAACTAGTGGGGGGGAAAATGCTTGCTGTTACTTGTTTTTATTGTTTGCTTTCACTGCTGTCTAAGTGGCAGAAGATTTTTTCACTTGTTCACTCAATGTGCATTTAGTAGCATGCTCATCACACCTTATTATCTTGTTATCTAGCGCCTAAGACCTCTTGGTCTAGTGGCACTAGGGGGTTTGCGGGTTCAATCCCATGTCGTATAAAAAAAAAAAAAAAAAAAATCTTGTTATCTAGCTGATATGAAGTTGACACTCTGTTTTCCTAAGCCAATGGATGAATATTTAACTTAACCTTGTTGACTTTTAGTGTTTGAGTATTAAACCTTTTAGCTTAAGATCATGAACAATAATTCAATAAGTTTTTATTTGCTAAATATGCCTCTCATATAGTGAGAACCATGCTAAAATAAGTTGCTTTTTCTCTAACAACTGTGTGTTGTTTATTTAATTTGCTTTGAGAAAAGTGATTTTTTAATTAATCATATAATATCATAATTTATTATATATGAAAACTGTATTCATTAAACATGTTAGAGCTACTTTGACGAGTGCTACGATTCAAAAGTTATTCTAACATAAAAGATTTGAGTTATTCTAACATAAAATGTTAGCTTTAGGAGCATTATCTTAATAATGGAAGTACAATTTCGAGAATTTTCGCACAGCTTTATTCCAAAGAGGAAAAAGAAAAAGGTTTTAGCTGGAGATGTCTGCAAACTTAGTTCCATCACTGTTTCCATGTTTTGGCTGTTTCGAAGCGTTGAACTCACTCAGGATGCCCAAAGCTTCATTGAAAGGATCCCCACGAAAGTTTATTTCTCCACCATAATGAAATGAGAAGGCATGGACTGTTCAAACAACTCGTGGGGGACCTCTCTTTCATCGACTCCACGCCCTTTGCAAAGCTTCTTGATTCTTGTGCTTGTTCCAAGTCTATACGCGATACACGTCGCGTTCATGCCCATATCATTAAAACCCGGTTTTGCTCAGAAATTTTCATGCAGAATAGGCTCATCGATGTGTATGGAAAATGTGGTTGTTTGGAAGATGCTCGGAAGGTGTTCGATAGAATGTCTGAGAGAAACACATTTTCTGGGAATTCCATCATTTGTGTTTTAATGAAGGCGGGTTTACTTGATGAGGCTATGCAGATTTTTGAGATGATGCCTGATCATGACCAATGCACTTGGAATTCTTTGGTCGCGGGATTTGCCCAGCACAATTGGCATGGAGACGCATTGGAATGTCTTGTTAAGATGCATGGGGAGAATTTCATGCTAAATGATTACTCTTTTGGTAGTGCTCTTAGTGCTTGTGCAGGATTAAAAGATTTAAGAATGGGTATTCAAATCCATGCAGTGATATCAAAATCTCGTTATTCTTCAAATGTTTACATGGGATCTGCTCTGATCGATATGTACTCTAAATGCGGGAGTGTAACTTGTGCACAAAGAGTTTTTGATTGGATGGAAGAGCGGAACAGAGTTTCTTGGAACAGCTTGATTAGCTGTTATGAGCAGAATGGTCCAGCAAGTGAAGCCATTGACGTTTTTCGAAGGATGATGGATAGTGGAGTTGAACCAGATGAGGTGACTCTAGCCAGTGTGGTAAGTGCATGTGCGAGTTTGTTGGCGGTAAAAGAAGGCCTGCAAATTCATGGTCGTGTTATGAAATGTGAAAAATTTAGAGATGATCTCATTTTGGGCAATGCATTGGTCGATATGTATGCGAAATGCGGCAGAATTGATGAAGCGAGATGGGTTTTTGACAGGATGCCAATCAGGAATGTGGTCTCTGAAACCTCCATGATTAGTGGTTATGCCAAAGCAGCGGGTGTCAAAGCTGCAAGGCTAATGTTTACAAAGATGACAGAGAGGAATGTGGTTTCTTGGAATGCACTTATTTCGGGGTACACACAGATTGGGGAAAATGAAGAGGCTCTCTCACTCTTCCTCCTTCTAAAGAGAGAGTCGGTATGGCCAACGCACTACACATTTGGAAATCTGCTTAATGCGTGTGCAAATCTTGCTGATCTGCAGCTTGGTAAGCAGGCTCACACTCATGTCGTGAAGCATGGGTTTCGGTTCCAAGCTGGGGAAGAGCCTGATATTTTTGTGGGGAACTCTCTAGTAGACATGTATATGAAATGTGGGTCAATTGGAGATGGGTGCAGGGTTTTTGAAAATATGGCCGAGAGAGATCACGTCTCATGGAATGCAATGATTGTAGGGTATGCACAAAATGGTTATGGGGCTGAAGCTCTTGGAATATTCAGCAGAATGTTGGCATCAGGGGAACAACCAGACCATGTCACAATGATTGGTGTACTATGTGCTTGCAGCCATGCAGGACTTGTCGTGCAAGGACGTCATTATTTCCGCTCAATGACCGAAGACCATAATTTGGTACCGCTGAAAGACCATTATACGTGTATGGTTGATCTACTTGGTCGAGCTGGTCATCTCGACGAAGCAAAAAATCTAGTAGAGTCGATGCCAATGCAGCCTGATGCGGTTATTTGGGGGTCTTTGCTTGGTGCTTGTAAAATTCATCGTGACATTGACTTAGGGAAGTATGTGGCAGAAAAGCTCTTGGAAATAGACCCTACGAATTCCGGTCCTTATGTACTTTTGTCAAACATGTACGCAGAGCTTGGAAGATGGGGTGATGTTGTTAAAGTAAGGAAGCTGATGAGGCAAAGAGGAGTTATCAAACAGCCCGGTTGTAGCTGGATTGAACTAAAGGGCCGTGTACATGTATTCTTAGTGAAAGATAAGCGACATCCGAAAAGGAAAGAAATCTGTTCAGTCGTTAAATCCCTTTTAAAACAGATGAAGAGAGCTGGGTATGTCCCGAATCCCTCTGGCTCTGATTATGAGGCTTACGAAGAACAGTGTGGCTCTGAATTCAGCTCATGCTACATAATGGATATGCCACAAGAAGCTACTGCTGGGTAACTTCTTTACAATTGTGGTATAAATGCTCTCCTTTTTCGTTGTTGGATTTGACAAAAGCTTGACCTAGTTTTGTTTAAATTCCAAAGAAATTTCACTTACCAAAGGGACAATTGTAAAGATTTTTCCTTTGGCTCTATTCATGTATTACAACTTGAATCGAGAGATAAAGGAATAAATCAATATACGATATACAATTTTTGATGCTACTTATGCAAGAGGTGTCTTTCTCACTACTGTTTTCAATATTCTATCTTCTCCTTAATCGTTTTTAACTTTACTGGATTTGTCTTGCATAACCATTTGTGTTGCAAATGTCCATACCAATATCTAAGTAAGGGGCATGTGTGAAAAAAAAAAAAATCTAAGTTGGGCAGTAAAAAAAGTATTTATAGGTCACATGTGAAATAGATTATTTTAGAGGACTGCATGAAATAATATTTAAGGGCTTATTTGACGAAAAGTGGTTCCATTAAGGTAAAATTAGCGCAAAGCTATTTTAACTGGACAGTTTTAAAAATATGATTTTGAACAAAAATGTAGAATAACCAAAACACATACTTAAGAAGAAAGGATATTTAAGTAGCTTGGGGCGAATAAAAAAAAATAGCATTTCAGAGTACAAGAAAGGGAATACGAGTATTTGTGTCTTGTGAGGCCAACATTTGAAAAATGGTTTTTTTTTTTTTTTTTTTTTTTTTTTTTGAAAACTTGAAAAATAGTATTTTAGAACATTTTAAAAACAAAATATTTAAGTGGGAACATATTATGAAAAACTATACATTTAAATGGGGTGAATTAGACGGAAAAAATAATACTTTAATAAAAAAGATTTAAGAATTTAAAATTTTACGGAAAAAGGAAAAAAGAAAAAAGCAGGAACCATAGCAGAAAAATGAAAATTTTGGTAAAACGGAGCGCTTGTTTACTTGGATCGAGTGCTTCTAAACTGTAGACCGAATTGGCTCCTCTAGATATAGCTAGAATTGAATATTATAAATTTTTTTTTTTTTTTTTTAACCCGGAGTGGCGGATTCAAACTTACAGCTTGTGGGAGTAAGTGTGGAATCACCTGTAAGTTCTGCATCTGCATGCAACCACAAGTTACATCTTCACACTTTTTATAGTGCCAAAATATTACAGGAACAAACAAGTTCTCAAAAGTATGAACTAAAACACCAAGACTAACTCAAAACAAATAATCTATAATATATATATAGGGTGTATCTACAGTCCGTCTGCTATTGTGGGACGGACCGATTCGTCCACTAAATGCGGGCTATAGATTTCAAAGTGGGCGGCCAAATTTTGCTGAGATTGTAGTAGAACAAGTGTCAGTAGTTGCAGTTGTCGATTATATTATTTTTTATTTCTTTTTGTTCCACGAATGATGTTAGGTAAAAATGCACGTCGTTTTTAGGCTTAAACATAGCAGGCTTAATGAAATTGAAACTTTCGCTCAGATCCATGGTAGAGATTGTCTTCGATGAAGCCGGGCTGTTATGAGAGAAAAATACCTGATTTTGGTAGGGATCTGAAGGGAACAGGTTAGTTGTGGCTTCTGTGGTTTAATCGAATTCGTGAAGGCAGGAAAATATTGGGATTTGAGGAGCGTGGACACCGAAGGCGATGACCAAGAAATAAAAAGGTTTCGCATTTCCAGTTTTAACTATATGTCATACATAGTCTTCTATAATGATTTCACGTGAAAAATGGCGTGTCATGATCATCTCATATATATCAACTGAATAATAACAACTCATATATGACGATTTGTTTTTAGAATTAATATAGATTAGATCCATGAATTTCAGAAATTGAATTGGCAAAACTTTGTAGAGTTAATTAACCTTCACATTTTATTCAAGCCAAAAGCAGATCATTACCACTTTGAACTAAAAAAAAAAAAAAAAAAAAAAAAAAAACAAATCCCCAATTTTTTAGCATCTCAGATAGCGCTAGCTAGCTACTTGTCCAATCAATTTTTATTTTGGTGCTATCTGCTCAACAACAATACTTAATATTTCCTTGGAATTTTTAAGTATAAATGTCCTGACAGATAATGCAGTGATCCAAGACCAATTTAGCCAAGACACTTCCTTCTTCAATCTTCTCATCTTTAGTATTATTGTTCCAAAGGTGAACGCCATACGTTTCGCCGTCGGTTAAGTCGTTGACCATGCTCTCAACCCACCTCGACTCGGACTCGTTCTGAGGCTTCTTCATAAGCTTCTGTATCTGCATCCAATCCACTGGATAGAACGCCTTGGGCCGGCAATAGGGTGAGGTTGTACCCAGGATTACTCCCTACTCTCTCCCCAACTCTTGAGACCAAATCAGGACCATTGTACTCCCACTTGTTCCCGTTATAATTCCAACTAAACTCTTCCATAAAGTCATACAAGAGAGGATGGTTTATGTCAAAGATCAAAACGGCGTTGTTTAGCTTTGTCCATTTCTTGGTCTTCAAATCAACGTTTTGAACTCCGATCGCGTTTCTCAAGCCATAGAAATCTCTTAAGATCACGTAGTCCGTGTCTAGATACACTCCTCCGTACTTGTACAAAACAGCTATTCTTAGTAGATGGGAAAGATTCTCAGTGAAAGGTACGTAGCCAGGGTCTTTTTTGCCATGTCGCATTGATTCAAACCAAGACTCCGCCGGGGTGTTCTTCAATAAGAAAGACACATCGGGTGTGATTGTGAGTACTTTGAAACCGCGGTCGATGATCGGTTTCAATATCTTATAACCGCGTTTTGAATCCATGGTTCTTGAGATGATCATGAGGCAACCCTCAGGGTGTGCTTTGAAGAGGGTCACGATTGACAACAAGTGTCGCCTACTGAAATTCTTTGCGGGCGAAAACCACGTCATGTAGAGCTGAATGTTGCACCCGTTGTTAAGGAATTCCCAAACCCTACGGTGGAATTTTTGTGTCAAGTCGTTGGAGTCTAGAATTTCGGTTTCAGATAATCTTCGACGGAACCACACCATTCTTTCTTCTTCCGTGACGTTCACCGGAGCGATTAGAGCATCGCGATCATTATCTTCTTGGTCGTCCAGGTCGATGTTTTTTTCTGTGCGATTAGTACTAATTCTGGAGAAGACCGGCAGGACATCCTCGGTGTCTTGAATTCCAATGTCTTGCGATTCGAAGATTTCATAAGTGGTTAGCTCCAAAGGGTATAAGGAAACTTTGGAGAGCATGTTGCCGTCTGCATAAATCATGAAGAATATGGCTGTGAACGACATGACGAAGAAAATAGGAGACTTCACGGTACGGCTAAGCAGCTTCAAAAATACATTCTTGGACAGTTTTTTCCCCATAGCCGTTAAAAATTTTGATGTTTTTTTTTTCTTTTTTTTAATGAAGAAATGGTGGTCGGGAAGGAATTCTTTCATATCTCTGTACAAATGACGCTCAAATAAATAATTTTGGAGGGTTTTTTTCTAATGATGTTGTTTAGTTTCTATGTAGATTATAAGTATTATTTTCTTCTTATAATTAATACGCTGATGTGGGCCTTGAAGCGTTATAAACATGAATATGGAATTAGAGAGAGTGATCATGTCATTCATCCATAAATGGAAAGAATTAAAAGTAATTGTAAGTACTGCAATATTAATAACTACAATGGCTTCTAATGAATAATATTAATTGCTTAATATACATATTGTACTCGCACGATTCTTAGGTATATATCAACAGGTAACGTTGCAATCACTTTCTATGCATTATTTTGATTTTGATTTTATGTTTTTGAAAAGCTTTCCACGCATGTTATAGACTATTATAATTTCCAATTTTCCGTCCCTGCCAGCAACGCCCTAAGTAGTGTATCGTATACAAGAAAGGCGTCATTCTTGTAAATGGTTTGTGCTCAACGATTACTGATAGTACCTCGTTTTTAAGGTATATGAATTATAGATATAGATATAGACACACATGCGTATAATCCGTAAGATAATAATATATATATATATATATATATATATATATTAGTTGATGAATTTTTTCATCGCAATGCAGAGACCATGTCCATGTTTAGAATTGATCCCGTTATTATTTTTCACCTTTTTTGAGAAAAAAAAAATAAAAACGTTCTCAAAACGGCATTTGACGCAATAAAGATAAAAATGAAAATAAAAATGAGTTTTTGGTTTAGGTAAAATGAGAGAAATTAAAAATGACTTTTAATCATTTTTCACTTTTTGTTTTCATTTTCTTCTCTCTGGAGCGGAGAGAAAGAAAGAGAGATATTAATGGATTTTTTTATACTAAAAATAATCTCTTGATAAAACTACCAAACGCATTTTTAAAAATGATTTATGTCTGAGATTGAAAACATTTTCATTTTCATTTTCATACAAAAAATAAAATCATTTTGAAACGAGTTCCAAACGCGCTCCATATGTGTTCTTTCAGTGAGCATAAAAAAATTGTTTTGAAGTTGATGTTTTATTATCAATTTCTAGTCATTCAATTCTACTTTATTGTATAAAATAAATGTCAAATTCAAAATTGTATTAATCAATAGATCATCAACAGATAGAAATCATTTCATACATTAAACCTATATTTATATTCAAACATTTATAGACACACACACATAGATATAACTTAGAATGGGACACTTCATATCATATAAATTTGCTCATTTATCTTCCTCTTAACGTGTTGCTTTCTTGTGCAATGTATGCAAAAATTTCTCTACATGTCGTTTAATAAGTAGTTAATGTTATGATTTTTAATCCTATTTGTATTGTCATTGATTATAAAAATAAGGGTTATTTATTTTTTTATACCTACATTTTAAGTTTATTCAAAAACGTTACAAGCCAACCCAAATTGGGCCGAATTGACTCGCCGGACCCAGCTTGTTTAAGATAAACTGATGCCATATAAACGAGGACGAAAACGGTCGCCAAAAATTTCCCCCTAAAATCTTATCCCTTCGCCTTTCTCATTTCAGTCTTAGCTCTGAGCTCCAGTCATGGCGTCTCTCTTACTAGGATCCCTCCCAATCCCCTCTCAGTCCCTCCCTCTCGCCTCTCGCATTTCGTTTTCCCAATCCCAAACCCTAGCCACTTCTCTTCCCTCTTTCGCACTTTCTTCCTCGTTTTCATCAATCTCCGCAACTTCTCCTCCATCATTCCCTTCAGGTAATCAAAAACGCTTTACTCCAAATTCCGTTCATCCGAATCTTGTGCCCTAATTTTGTTGTTGTTGTTGTTGTTGTTCTACTTCAGTGTACTGTGGCAGAGGCGATAAGAAAACGGAGAGAGGAAAGCGTTTCAATCACTCCTACGGCAATGTAAGTTTTGCTTTTCGCTTGTGAATTACGGCAATTTCTGTGATTAATTTTTGTTTTTTGTTTTTGTTTTTTTGGTTTGTGAAAATGGAAAATTAGGCAAGGCCTAGGAACAAGAAGAAAGGGAGAGGACCACCGAGGGTACCGGTTCCTCCGTCGCCGCCTAGGAAAGATAAGTTTGATAGCGATGCGAAAATCAAGATCGAAATCGATGAGTCTCTGTTCTCCAACTAATTGAAATCCTAAATCTTTTTTTTTTTTTCCTTCTAATTTCTGTTGGGTGTAATATTTGAGGATTATGTAGTTCCCTTTGTTGAATGTGCTACACTTGCTTGTAAGAATTCCGCTGAAATTCTCAATTCAAGTTGGTATTTATTTATTTATTTATTTATTTATTTTTGCCATGGTTGTTATTTTTTTCCATCTTCTTGCTTGATGAAATTAGTTGTGTTTGGGATGCCAATCTTATGTGATTCAAGTCTTTGTTTTAATAAACGATTGTTGACTTGACCTGACTCTGGAATGTGCAATTTTGCAAAGTTGGAATCGAAAAGAGGGTGAAAATAAACAACATTTTGATGAAAGAGAACGATAAGGAGGTCTTATTGTTACAATACATTGGAAAGTTTGGGGACTTATCGCAAAAAACCCTTAAAAAAAAGTTGAAAAAAAAAAATTGTAGAAAAGTTTTAGCAAATTTTGACAACATATTCAACTTATTTTTGGTTTATAAAATTAGAGAAGTGAACATGTTACAAAACAAGAAATAACCTTTGAATAGTAGTGCTCTTTTCCTAACTAGTCTAACTAGTACCGTTTCTCACTCCACTTATTACAACTAAAAGAAAAAGAAATGATAAATGTTTCTCTCTCTCTCTTTGCAAATGATTTGGTCACAGAAGAACAAAGGCAATTGTTTTAAATTTTTCAATGATTTTACGGAGGATCTCTTGGTTTGTGTGCACTACACATTTCCTATTGATGGAAACTTCTTTTGATTTAACCTTACTTTAGAGTTTTAAGATCTGGAATACTTGTCAAAGGAGCTTGTTACAACGTGGATATGCTGAGGTGTCCCAATCCTGGTCCTTGTCGTAAGAAAAACAAAACTTCTTGAAAGCAAATTGGGGATTGCCGGCTTAACAAATTGTTTATTCAGATTTTTTACAAGTCTTAGTTCCATCCCTTTGGAATTTTCTTTATTCTCCTTAAATCTGTGCCAAATCTGTTCTTTTGTTTCATACATACAATCGAAAAACTTAAAGCTTATGATGGAAACAGAGATTATAGAGGAGAAAGATGAAGAGGGTAATTCCTTTATTGATTCAGAAACTCAAAAGGAAAAGATCAGGAGAATAATAGAGTATCAGAAGTCTCTCTACTCGTCGTCAGCTTCTTCATCTTCCATGTCTTCCTCAGCGGTTTCCTCTACCTTCTCATCTTCTGCTCGCAGAACTAACAGTTTGTTGAATTTGATGCGAAGCGGGAACACGTCTTTAAGGAGATTATTTGACATGGAGCATACTAGTTTAGCAACTTACTTTGCGGATTATAGCGGTTCACCCATAATTAAGCCTATTCTTCTCTGGGGCAGTGATTCAGAGAATGAAATCTATAATCCATGGGAATCTATACAAAAGTATAGACCCTCAAATGTTTCAGGGGTTGTTGGACAATATGACTTCACTCCAGAGTGTAGATTTGGGCAAGAAGATTTTGACACTCAGAAAAATAATGTAAGAATTGGGAAGCGCAAGTTGACAAGAAAAAAGGCATATAGGAGATTGCCCAGATTTGGCTTGTGGAAATGCGGTGGATTTATATTCAAGTTGAGGTTGAGAAAGTTTAGGCTTGTAATTTGCAGAAGAAAATGAAGGATTATTATTTTGCTAAATGTTTTGTAGTTTTCTTTTTTATACTTGCGAGAAAACAGACAGATTCCATGTGAAAAAGAAAATATATTGGACACAGGAAAAGTATATGACGCGAAGTAGTTTGAGCTATCTCAGATTGAGATGTACAGTCAACTAATGACCTTATTTAGTCAGAAAAAACTGACGATCTTACTTTTACAAAAGGGAAAACTATAAGAAACTAATGGTCTTATTTGCATCCAAAAAGAACTATTAAAAGAAAATTACACTTATGATCTTATCTACATCATGGGAAAAAATCTAGAAGGAAAAAAAAAAAGCTAAAAGAAAAAAATGACACTTGTAAAATACAATTCTACAGCTCCTGGAATTTTTACAGTCCGCGACTTCGCCACAGATTTTGCAAATGCTTCGCCATTTACCAACTCCGAAAAGTCTATTATGAACTGTAAATGCCTTTGCAAGTGACACAATGATCTGAGATTAACCTTCCAATAACGCTTCCTTCTTCAATCAACAATCCGCTACTTTGCCTATTCCACAGGTGCACCCCATAAGTCTCCCCACTTAGCTGAAGAACCTTGGCTTTCACCCATCTCAATTGGGCCTCCCTTTCGGGCCTCTTAAAAAGCCCACCAATCTTAGTCCAATCCACTGGATAAAAGGCCATGGGAGACAACACAGTGAAGTTGGACCCCGGCCTGGGCTCCACTCTCTGGACCACCCTTGAAACCAAATAAGGCCCATTATACCCCCACCTATTACCATCAAAAGTTGAGGCAAATTCCTCGATGAACTTCAACAAAAGTGGATGATTCATGTCAAAAATTAAAACTGCATTATTCAATCTCGTCCAGTTTTTGGATAACAAATCAATACTTTGTGCTCCAATTGAGTTCCTTAACCCATTTAAAGGCTTGAGAACAATGAAATCCGTATCCAAATAAATACCACCATACTTGTACAAAATAGCGAGTCTCATGAGATTAGACAAGTTCTGAGCTAATGAAATCTCACCAGGATCTTTGTTCCCTTTCTCTAAATCTCCCAGCCAATTCTCCGCTGGGGTGTCCTTGAACAAAAACGACAAGTCCGGTGTTGCGGCGTTAACCTTGAAACGACGATCAATGAGCGGTTTCAAGATTCTATAACCTTCTACTGAATCCATAGTCCTTGACAAAATCATCAAGCACCCTTTTGGGTGTGCCTTGAAGAGGCTCTCCAAGGCCAAGAATTCCCGATTCCCAAACGACGTCACCGGAGAAATCCACGTCATGAAAACCCGAACTTCGCATTCCGGATTGAAGAACTGCAAAACCCTGGAATGAAACCGCTTGGTTAGCAAGTCTGACTTGAAAATTTCGAGCTTTGGCAACTTTCTCCGCAGCCAAGCAATTCTCTCTTCTTCCGTTGCGTTGAATGGTGGGATGAAAGGATTATTATAAATCGCCTTTTTTCTAGCGACTGAAAAATCTCCCTTTATGGATTGCAGACGAATATTAATATTGTTGCGAGGAGTGCTAATGGAAGGATTTGTTTGTCGTTTTACCTTCAAAATGCTTTCTGTGTGGTCTTCTCTGAAACTAGTGAAGATTATACCATCGGAATAGAGGGCGAAGATTACTAAAGCAACACAAATGGTGGAGAAGATTCGGAGCTTCTTGTTGTCTGACATGTTTTTAGAGAGTCGTCTCATTGTCATTTTCAGAGAACTCTTATTGCATGTGGAAAGGATTAATATGCTGAAAGTAGAAACAAAGCTAATTCGGAGAAACTCTCATGGAGACTAAAGGAAAGTTCTTGACGTATGACTTGAAGCTGCAAAGACAATTATCTTGAATACAAATTAGTTTTTGGTAAAAGTCAATATTGGAAGATTCAGACGCTAATAGCCGCCAGCCGCGCAAATATATTAATATCTTACAATAATACTTCGCCATACATATACGAGTCATTGTTGTTGGGTCCATAAGTCGTAAAGCTAAAAATTAAAAAATAAGGTCAAAGATTGATTGAATAACATCGTTCTACTAATCAGTTCTTTTAAGCTTTCTACCAAACAAATGTAAGTTTTTATTAGCATTGTTCTTATTGTCTTAGAGATGATTTATGTTACAAATAACATCTTCATGCCGTGTGGTTAACAAATTATTATCGTTTAACATGATTTTCAGCGGCACTGTGCTGGAATACTGTTTAACTCGGTTTGAGGGAATACATATTATCATACTTGACATTCTTGAAAGTATAGAGACTGAAACTTTTGACGATGGTTGAGCACATTTATAAGTTGAAAGTGAAAACGTACACAAGAAATCTAAAATTTTATTATGGTAGACATGAGATGGAAAGAAAGTTTTCTCTATTGATGATTTTTTTTTTTTTTTTCCCTTCATGCAAACTCCACGCTCCTTTTTAAAACTTTCTTATAATCCAGCTTTTAATTATGATCGTAGACATAGGCTAGCAATACTAAACACTTACTCCATCACAAGACAATTAATTAAATTAATTAGTTTATTTTTATCTTGGACAAGTCTAATTATTTTATTGTTGGCATCCTACAAGGTGGGCTAAGAACTATCTCTGGATTATTGTAGATTAATGAAAGCTATATAGGCCACGTTATTTGACAATGAACGTAATTACATAAACGTCCTTTTCGTTGTCTTTTTCATCCCTAAGAGGCCACGTCATTGGTTTGGAACTTTTAAAAAGACGTATCTTATCATTGTCAAATGGTTTATCATTGGATTATGTTCCGAAAGAAATGCCATTTGAATAGTTAAATTTTAATCCAAATTATCTTATCATGAAAATTATTTAATTAGACATTAAATGGCCTACATGTTTAAATAAAAAAAGTGCAGTTACTTCATACTTGCATCGGAGGAATTGCTAAGCCTTGTTCTTAGGTTTCGTTCATTTCACCGATTCGAGTTTTCAGTTTTAGGTTTTTACAGTAAAAAATTCTCATAAAATATCACATTTAACTTTTTCTGCTACAGTATAAAGTTCTCAGTAATTTATTAGATTATCACTGGTAATCTATCAGTGTTTCTAAAATCAACAGTGACCACTGTCAATTATAATTGTCTTTGTCATTTATCCTCTCTCCTCTGTGGAGAAAATTTCACATTCTGCCTCCTTAACTAGTTCTGGTTTAAAAAGTAAAAATATATGAACTAATATTAAAAGGTAGAAATAAAACAAAAAAACTCTATTTTAAGAGGGTATTTTTAAAAATTGCCCCTTAGTGTGACTACAATAGAGATCTTCCAGACTCCGTCTGAGGAGTTGATAGCCGCAGTAATATGGTAGATTTACTCCAGTAATCTACCTGGTATCACTAAGTGATCAGCTTCAAAGTAATCTGTTACACTGGCACAGTAATCTTGAAGATTGAATTTTCAAAATCAACATATATAATAAGTCATCGTGTCTAACAGAGTAATCTTCAAGATTGAATTTTCAAAATCAACATATATAATAAGTCATCGTGTCTAACAGAGTAATCTTCAAGATTGAATTTTCAAAATCAACATATATAATAAGTCATCGCCAAAGCTGGTGCAGGCGTCCATCGTCTAAGTAATCTACTAGATTAATATTGGTAATCTACTATGTTAACTCATGGAATGAACAGAAAAACACAAAAGAAACACGATTACTAAATTGATTATTAAAATTATAGCGTAATTACACTACATGAAAAAATTTCATCCTTAAAGTTGAAATTTAACAAAATTTTTAGAATATTATAAATATAGTAAAAATGACAGCATGTCACATTTTATACTATATAATAATATAATCATTATTTTAATGATATCAAAATTTTGTTATTTTGTGTTGCCGCTTCTTCTCAGGTTTTCTCTCAACTGGATCCTTCCCCCTGCGCCGTTCCTTTTCTTGGCCCCATGGGGCCGGAATTCCTTGGGGCCTCATGGTGGGCCATCGGATTTCTGACCCTAGCAACGGGATCTTGAGATCTAAGGAGGTTCTCTTGACGGTGGCTCCGGTGAAAGTGTTCTTTGGGCTGGTCTTCATCGCGTTTTTGGGAGTGGGTGGCTACAGTCATGGTCGTCAGCTCAGAGGCACCGGAGATCCTTCTTCTTTGGCGTTTTTGTCACCAAGGTCCTGCGTTGCTTTTGGTGGTGTTGGTACTCTTGTGGCGTTTCGTCGGCACTGGTGTGCGCGTTCCACGCGCCGATCCGATGATGGTTCGGGTATGGCCTCTTCTTCCTTGGTGTGGTGTCCTCTGGATTCTTGTTGGCCATGGAAACTCGTGGTGCCATCACAGACTTCTTGGTGTCTTGGGTTTGTGCCCGTTTTAGGCTTTATTTTGTTTTTCTAAAGGTGATGTGTTTTTTGCCATTTTTGTGTTGTTTTGTTTTATTGTACGGTGTAATAAAGGTGCAATAAAAGAGGTGGTCTCATTCTCCGAGATCGGTTGTGTGTTTTGTCTACTTGATTTTGTTTAATGCGGTGTATTCTGTAACCGTGGATTAAAATCATAAGATTAGAATTATTTTTAATTTATGTGTATTTTTTGTGAGAGAAAATACTGTAACGAACCATGAACCATAATTCGATCAGAAGGCTCCATCAATTATAGAGGTGTTATTAAAAGAGCCATTTATATGTTTAGTGTGCCGTTTCGGTTTCTTATTGTCGAAACTTGGTATATGTTACTCCCCTTTGAGCGTTTAATTCAAAATTATTGGTGGATCCGATCTTTTGTTGAGGTCGAATCTTCTTATGTTTTGGGGTCATTCATATCAACATTAGTGTTTGTATTTCTCTATATTTGAGTTGAAATGAAATTTTTCTTTAAAAAAAATTTTATTATTTTTATAATATTTTAAAATTTTTACAATATTTAAACTTTACTAATGAAATATTACTATATGAGTAAAGAGCCCGACATAAAAAAATGTTAAAAATAAAAAGATTATTAAAAACACGATAATGTAGAGCCATGAATATATCATTGTCATCAAAGCTACTCTAAAATCAGGGCTGACATGTAGAACTAAAAGGGGATTGATTAAAACGCTTGACATATAGAAATGAAAGTTGATTGATCAAAAGATAATCAACTTTTTTTTTTTTGCTGGATTGAAAAAAAAAAAAAAAGAAAAGAAAAGACAATCAACTTGCCGTAGTGCTGATGGCAAAGCATGGTAAAATAATGCATCAAAAGCTTCATGATGAAAGAATCTATTAACTGAAATTTGTCTTGAATCGGGGTGCATTTAATCTGTACTAAACTCTTCATATTATGGCCTCAATTTTCCAATCATGTCAAGGAAATACGTCATTTCTGCAATTGGTTTGGCATTAAATGCAGCCCCAACAGTGAAAGAGTCTTCTTGAACTTGGAAAGTCAGAGTTTAGCGGCTCTCTGCCACCTTCCATGGACAATCTCACATGGCGCCTCGTGGAATGAACCTGCGATACAACGGCTTCGGAATCGGCGGTGAAACCCCTCATGAAATCAAACATCTGCGTTACCTGCAACATATCAACTTCACTTCCAATTCCTAGGAAAGAAATATCCCTGCTAATATAACTCCCTATAAAGAGCACAAAGTGCTTGATATGGAATAGAACCATCTTAATTATTCGGACAATTACAGGCCAGTTCAGGTTATTGATAAAGTTAACTCACTTTTGTTTAGGTGGTAACAACCTTTTAACTATCCCAGCTTGGATAGGGAACTTCTCTTCTTTGTATGGTCTTTCACGAGTAATACTATTAGACACCGGTAGTATTTAGCACCGCCTATTAATAACTTGTGAGACTCACAGGTGGAGCCTACCTTCTATTAGTGATGGTTCTTAACACTGGCGGTATTCCTAAGCATTTTTCGTCATTCACTTGCCCTAAGGCCTAAACAATTTATACTGTGGAGCAACTATTTATTTAGGGCAATCACTCCTATTTATAATATTTCTTCTGTATACTATTTCACTGTTGTTCAGAACCAGTTGAAAGGAAAAATACCAACAGATGTTGGCAGTGCTCTCCCTAGTCTTGTTGTGTTTGTTGATGGAGTTAACAAATTTACAAGGCATATTCCTCTATCCATGGCAAATGCTTCCACAATTCAGGTGCGTGGCTTAATTTGCTAAAAAAATGGTCTAATGTCTCTGCCTCATAATTTTGGAATTTTGAGAGACTTATCAACCATCCTTCTCATAATCCATGCCCTAATCGTATTATTGCATTATGCACACTAAATTGTATTATTGCTCGTACAACATTATATTGTATTTAATGATGTACTTTACTACATTTTCTCATCTTACAAGTTACACTAATGATGCACATTGTTACCATATTTTGCAACTATTGAAACTCAAAAGTCTGTATAGTTTTCACTCATTTTTCATTCCCTGTAATTCAAAAGAATTAATTTGAAAATCAGCTTGTGGTACACAAGAATTAGGCTTTTTAAAAGATACAATTACTAGTTATGTGCTTGTGTTACATATTCTATGCCTATGTATTACACTCTGGTCAACATAAGCTACCCTTGTCATTTAACGTCGAACGCGCATAATTTTTTAGGATATATTTTATTATTGATTTCATTCAAAATTACTGTTACAGCACCAATTGAGTTCAATAATAATATTTTCTGCTTCAGACATATCAGCCATTACACCTGCCACATTCAAACAATAATGTATAGTAGCTAAACGCGTCGCTTCTTTTTTGCATTTGCTGATGCAATTATCTTTGCATGTATGCGCCGTTTCCAATCTGATAAATTCTGAGTGTCGGATTAGAGATCTGGCCTAAAATTTTATACTTATGATAAGATTTTCCCCTCACATTCAAAAGCAACATATTTCTCTTTTTCTTGACTTTTTTTTTGGTGTTTACTCTTTTCCGTTAACACTGATATTCTCTGTGTTTCAGCTGTAAAATCTATATTAAATCTGATTAAAAATTAGATTAAATTAAAAAAATAATACATATTCGATGCCTACTAAATAAAGAATACTGGTATTCTTAAAAATACAAAAAACACCAAAAAAATTCTCTTTTTACTTTTGTAAACTTCAAAATATAAATTTGCCCTTTACCCACCATGAGGGAAGTAAGATAAGTGTTAGATGGGGCCCTAGGGGCAGAGGAAGGTTAGTCCCAAAGGGAGTTATGCGATTTCTGAAAATTTGTTTGATTGCATCTGATTTTTCAAAACTTTTATTTATGCCCACTATATGTGCCTCCTCATAAACAAACTTTTTCTCTCATTTATTCTTATTAATAAATTTAAGAGATAAAATCATTTTGGTAATCTATGTTATAACAAAATATTTTTCTGATACCTTAATATGAATACATTTACCATTAAAGAAACATTCTTTTGATATTCTAAAACAGATTTGTAGGACATATAATGTCCAAATGTCTTTTTTATTAATTAAATAGAAACTAATAAATATTTTGTAAGAACATTTTAACTTATTTTGATTTTTTAATTTTTAAATGTTTTAAAGTATTTTTGTAACTTTTAAAAAAATATATTAGTATGTTGTTAGTTTGTAAAAAGGGTAAAATTAAAATTTTATGTCTAAAAAATTGGTCTCTGGGTACTGAAAGAATGTTCCTTTAAAAGTAAATGTATCATTTTAATATTATTAAAAACACCAGATATCAACGAGTTTACTATAACTGAGGGTCTCAAAACGATTTTATCCTTAATATAAAGGGAAATAGTAGAAAATAGGCCAATATGAAAAGCTTAAGAAAGTATATAGGCCAATTTTTAGTTATAAAAATTAATATGCCATAACTTGTTAAGTTATGATTAATAACCAGATAAGTTATGGACAAACTTGTCAAGTTATAGTTCATAGCCAGACAAGTTATGGATAAAAACCATGAATTATGGACAATAACTTATCAAGTTATGGTTCATAACCAGACAAGTTATGGATGAAAACAGTAATTTGGCCTATTTATTAACTAATGTAAACTATTGGCCTGTTAATTTTAATCCATCTCAAGTCTTAGCCTATTTCTCTATTTCTCCCAATTTTAAACGTGCATTTCCATCCATCTGCTTTTTTGTTTATTTTTTGAATCTTATATTTAATTATATGTGCTTTATTACTTTTTAATTCCTAATCTGTCCCTATTGAAATAATTCATCTCAACTGTGCCTTTATTTAAGTATTTTGTTCTTGTAGTTCTTTAATAAAATATCTAATTTATAAATATGGTATTTATAAATACTTTTTTTTTCCAAATTGCCCTACTTAATTAATTACTTGTTTTAAATGTGTCTCTACTTAAACATCTTTTTTCTTACAATCTTTTAAAATACTATTTTCTCTTATGTACCCCTAAATAATTCAGAGTCAAATTATCACATCAAAACTTTTTTTTAAGTGTACCACTTTATTTCTTCTTTACAAAACCAAATGCGTTAGAGATTAATAAATCAAGATGAAACTAAAATTTTAAGAAATTTCTATGTTCACATGGCGAAAGATTCAACAAACCTAACTATGTAACAATATTAAAAGTTGATAATTTGATGGTCTCAAAAGCTTTTCAAGTTTTTAACTTATACTCCCGTAAACAAAATCTTGGCTTCGCCAGTACTGTGAAAGGGCGGGTTATAAACTTATAGTGGTATTTTTAGTTTTTTTTTTTTTCCTGCCAAATTTCCTTGAAGAGCTTATTGTTTTCTTCTCTTTTTTTTCGGTTAAAAAAAAAACTCTGCAAATTTGGCAAAAAGTCACGTAATTAATATACATTAAAAGAACAACACGAACAAAAAAAATAAAAATAAATAAATTACAGACAAGTTTTATGAGGACCTACTGAGAGTATCTCTAACCATCTTCAATTCCTTGACAACTTTACTAATGTCCATTCGTTCTCTAGAATTGCAGCCAAGCACTCTTGTGTTGTATCCTTTTTGGTTTGTCCCTCATAAATAATCTCCTTGCTATTTGCTTCCTCTTCTTCTCCTTCACCTCCAAGCACAAGCATTGGATCTAGGACTTCTGATATTTTCCTTGATAGTGCACTCTTAACATGATCATGGAGGTCCAAACCGTCTTTAAACTTTTCGTCGGTCGGCCTCCTCCCCGTGAACATCTCCAACAAGAGTACCCCATAGCTGTATACATCGCCGTACGTCGAAACCTTACTTCCCATGCCATATTCTACATAGAAAAGAGAGGAGAGAGAGAGAGTTTCACTTTTGCTTGTTAGAAATAATCTACGTATAACTCATAAAAATGTTCATGCTTTCTATTATTTTTGTTCGATTGCTTTCTTTGATACAAATTTGGGCTGTGTTTGGACTAAAAATTTTGAGCCTTCAATTTGATACAAAAAGTTTAGAAAATGGCAACTGCTTTGCAATAAAACTCTTTTGAAATGCATATTGAAGATTAAGGGTGCGTTTGGAACTTGTTTCAAAATGATTTTATTTTTTGTATGAAAATGAAAGTGAAAACGTTTTCAATCTCAGATAAAAATCATTTTTAAAAATGCGTTTGATAGTTTTATTAAGAGATTATTTTCAGTGTAAAAAAACTCATTAATGTCTCTATTTCTCACTCTCTGCTGGAGAGAGGAGAAAACGAAAATAAAAAATGAAAAACAACTAAAAGTCGTTTTTCATTTCTCTCTCATTTTACACTAAACTAAAAAATTATTTTCATTTCTGCTTTTTGTCTTTATTGCGCCAAACGCCGTTTTAAAAACGTTTTCATTTTTTCTTTCTCGAAAAATGTAAAAAATAAAAACGGGATCAATTCCAAACACGGCCTAAGGTTTTTCTTTTATTTTGCTAGTTTGAATCACAACTCAAGTTTTTATTACAGTATTTTCTCTCTTATAAAAATTTATAATTCAATTTTTTCTAGTACAATATTTTCTTTCTTTTACATGAATATACTTTTTTAACTCAACTCGTATGAACAAAATGGACGGGGCCTTAATATTTTTCATTAACTTTATTTACTTTGCCCTGAAGTTAATTACCTGGCGCGGCATACCCAACAGTTACCTTCAATCCAACTGAACTGCTTTGTTGTACTTCTGATCTACTCACAGGCTCTGGAATGAACGTTGCTAACCCGAAATCTCCCACGCGAGCAGTGAGATCATTGTCGAGCAAAATGTTGCTTGGCTTTAGATCACAATGAACAATTGGCTTTTGACATTCATGATGAAGATACTCCAAAGCTGAGGCCACATCAATAGCAATGTTTAATCTTTGCAAAAGACTCAACATCCTTAGTTCACCATCTACGTCGTATTCTCTGGGACGTGGATGCAGCCAACTCTCGAGGCTCCCATTAGGCATGAACTCATAGACAAGAGCTTTGAAATCATTTCCCTGAAAATCAACACTCGAGCAAGCGGTTAATACTTTCACGAGATTTCTGTGTCGAATGTTTCTCAAGGCTTCACATTCGGTTAGGAAGCTCCTTAATGCTCCGCGTTCTTGTGTGTAGAGTACCTTTACTGCAACAACTTTCTCATTTGGATCAAGAATGCCCTTATAGACTGAACCAGAGCTACCACTGCCTATCAAATTGGCAGAAGAAAATCCACCAGTAGCTTTAACAAGTGTTCCATAAGACACATTGAGTAGAAAATTCTCATTTGACGAAACTGCTGAAGATGGAGGGTCTCTTTTCAACTTCTTTAAGCGAACGACGATTAGAATAGATACCAGCAGAACTAACCCCAGGATCCCGGAGAGTAAAGGGATCATCAACTTGAGCCCTTTAGATATCTTCTCTTTCTTTGGCTTAGTGCATGCCGGGAAATGCAGTACTGATATACCCCCACAAAGCCTTTCATTTCCTGCTAATGAAATGGCAGTTGCATTTTTGAAAACTCCTCCTGTTGGTATTTGACCCTCGAAGTTGTTGAAAGAAAGATTCAGACTCATGAAGGAGATATGTTGGAAGTATTCCGGAATTTGGCCAGACAAGTTGTTATGTGAAAGATCCAAGTCCTCAAGTTCTCTCAAGGAACTAAAAGATTGAGGAATAGCTCCTTCAAAGAAGTTATTCTCCATGTGAAGTTGTTCTAATCTTCAACAACTACCTAGTTCTTTTGGAATTTGACCTGACAATTTATTCTCAGAAACATCCAAGTAACCGAGATTTTTCAAAAGCCCCACTTCAGAAGGAAGGGAACCAGTGAATTGATTTTGAGCTAGATTCAAAGAAATTGTTAAAGAAGAAAGACTGACAACTTCTTTGGGTATGGTTCCAACAAGGTAGTTTTGAGAAAGGTCTAGGTCCTGCAAGTTTGAAAGGCTTCCAATACTAGAAGGAATAGGACCTGTGAAGTGGTTTTTCTGAAGATGGAGCAAGTATAACTGAGTTATGTTGGCTAGGGAGGATATTATGTGGCCTGAAAATGAATTTTCGGACATGTCCAGTCGCCGTAGCATCTTGAGGTTACAAATTCCTACAGGAATTCTCCCTGATAGATCATTTTTTTCTACCTCTAACTCAGTCAAGTTAACAAGATTGCCATTTCCTTCAGGGATGCTTCCACTTAACTGATTGCTTCCTAGTCTCAATGTAGCTAGTGTGGATGAGAGGTTGGATATAGAATTTGGCAATACCCCGCCAAATTGATTGTCACTTGGATCAACCACTTGTAAGTTCCTACATTTTGTCAAAGAATCGAAGAAGTTCAAGTCATCAACTTCTCTCGTTCCGAGAGAATTTGAAGCTAGAACCAGCCACCATAGATTAGGTGAGCCACCAAAATCAATGGTAAGTTTTCCACTGAATTTGGTTCCACTTGTATCTAATTCAATAAGATTGGAAGCATTGGACAATGAATTTGGCATGGTTCCAGTGAATTGATTGTGACCAACATTCAAGACAAGTAAGTTAGGAAGAGTGAAGGCCAAGTCTGAGGGCAAGCTTCCTTCTAGTTGATTAAATGGCACACTAAACCTTGTGATGGATGAAAGGTTATAAACAGAGGGAGGTATCATACCGGACATTCGATTCACACCGAGTCCAAGAAATTCTAAGTTCTTCAACCGGCCAAATGACTCCGGTATGTGTCCCTCCAAACTGTTCACTGCTAGAGACAGAGATCTAGCAGAGGAAAGGTTGCCTAATGAGGCCGGCATCGGTCCACTGAGATTGTTATAGTGAAGTTGAACTCTCTCCAGCATCTGCAATGATCCTAGCTGAGATGGGATTTTACCATTCAACTTGTTGAACCCCAAACGGAGCCAAACAAGTCTAGAACATCCAGAGAGATTGGCTGGGATTTCTCCCGAGAACGAGTTGTTGGAGAGTTCCAAGTACTTAAGCCTGAACAGACGGCCAACTTCCTGCGGGATTTGATAATGAAAATGGTTGAAATTAAGGACAAGTCTTGAAAGGAAGGTGAGATTTCCTATGTGAGGAGAGAGTGAACCAACCAAGTCATAGGAACTAAGGTTCAAGCCGGTCACTCTTCGGTGGCGGCGACCGCAAGTGATGCCTTCCCAGTTGCAGAAATGGAAAGAGTTATTCCATTTCTTCATGACACCAAAAGGGTCGCCAATTATCTGAGCTTTGATGGCAAGCAAGGCAAGCCTATCTGTCTCATTTCCATAGGAAGTTTTGGCTTCAAAAGTGGATAATGGTGAATGCAACATTAATGTGATGAAAAAGAACAAGAGAAATGGAGTTGGAAAGAGGGAGTAGGAAAGGATTGAAGTTTTGCACGGATGTGAAAGATTCATGGCTGAAGGTTTGACAAAGTGGTGGGAAGAGAGATTGATTTGCAGGTAAGGTGTGAATGTATGTTTCTGGGAGGGGAATGCTTGAATAATAGTTTTTTGCTATACTATTTTTAATTTAAAAAATAGGGTGTAATAACTAATAAGTGCATGTGGTTTTTTTTTATTTAAAAAAAGTCGTCTTTGAATTATGTACATTTCATGATAGACTATGGTACGATGTAAATCTTAAACTATTCTTATTTAAGTCCGAGGTAATCACTAGAGGATAATCATTTACATTTATTGTTAGTATTTAGTACTCAAACTTCATAGTTATAATGCAATTGCTTCCACGACGTCAGAAGATAATGTAGAATAGTTACATTGTGGAGCTAGGCTGGCATGAGTGGGACTAGTTCGAATCATATTGAAAACTAATTAAACAAATAGGTCTATGGTATGGTAATGTTACTTCACTCTAAAACACATTATTTGCATTAAATTCCATTTTTTTTTTTTTTATAAATTATGTAGAACTGGAATCTTAGCTATTGAATAAAGCCTTAAAACGATCGTGTCTGTTGAAACTTTTTCAATTTTATTACTTGCAAGCCGAAAGTTTTGTTGCCCCTCAATGGCTCATTCAATGACTTGTATAGAGGATTATGAGTATCTTAACTGCCCGTTCGGTTCGCTAATTCGAGTTGAGATGTGATGGTGTGTGAGAGCTTTTTATTGTAGTAAAAAAGTTAGATGTGACTGTTTCTAAGAGCTTTTTACTGTAGCAAAACTCGAATTCTAAACTCGAATCAGCAAAAAGAACGGGTAATTTTTTTTTTTTTCAGGGACTGTCTTAAAATTTTGATATGTACTGTAGTTTCTACCATTTACAGTAATATGATTATCACTGATAAGCAATTGAGGTTTCTCTTTTAACGTTTTGGATGTAATAGTTGGAGATATTTTAGAAGAAAGACGGAGGCAGTTTAGGGCTAGGGGGCTTAAGCCCCCCCTCAACTTTTTACTTTAAAAAAAACAAAACAAAACAAAACCAGTGTGTAGTCTCAAAATTACATTATAGTCTCCTTAAAAATATGAAAACTTGAGTTAGCCCCCTTTCAATTTTTTTTTCCCGCAACAAAACCTATATATCTATTGCATCAAATTACATACTAACCCCATACAAAAAATATGAAAACTGATTTCTTCTTATAAAAGCTCATTGAAAAACATCATCACTATATACGAAAGTCTAAGTAAAACTCATTACATTATATAAAGAAAATAAAACTCAATACTAAAATAGTTATTATAGTTATAGTTATTATGCTATTAGCCCTCGACAAGAATTTCTGACTTTCTCGCTATTGTTATATCTAACTCCATTTTGAATTGGGGAGCTCTTTTGAACTGTCGTATTTATATCAAGTTTATCAGGCTTGCATATTTCTTCATTTCAATGTGATTTTGACCAACTCATACCTTCACAAACATGCATATAGGACATTCTCTACAATAGAAAGCTCTTAATAACAAATGGCATAACTCAATTTTTTATTCGTTTTAATTTCCGCTGGTTTTTAGGCCCCTAATGTTAGACCTTGGTTTCCCTATAATCTAGATATAGAATGACATAAACGACTTTGGTATGCGGGTTGTGGGGTTGCCCACAACATTGGCCACGTCTGGCTAATAATATGTTTAATTCATTTTATCGATTCGTGTTTTTAGTTTTAGGTTTTTACAGTAAAAAATTCTCACATCTAATTTTTCTGTTACAGTGAAAAGCTCTAAAAAATATCACATTTTAACTCGAATTAAAAACACGAATCCGCGTAGTGAACATTACTTTAGCTTTATCTCCTTGGAGCCTTGAGCTCACTGGTCACTCAGAAAGAGTCAACTATTTTGTTGTACGTACTATACAAAGAGACAACTTGAATTGCGCATGTACAAGGAGCATGGGTTAATTCGTGACAATCTACATGTGATAAAGTTATATATCTATGGAAAAACTTTCAACCAAAAAAAAAAAAAAAAGAAAAGGACTATGAACAATCTATAAAAGATTCTTGATGGTGAACCATGACAATGGATGCAATAGAAAACTTGCAGCTAAATATTATCATAGACTTTATGGCTATATATGGGACCTATGTGGTATCTACCTATGTAGGCATTTTTGTGAATTGATAAAAATTTTGGAATATTGTTATAACAAAAAGAAAAAATGGAATATTACTAAACGTCATTAGTAACTTAACTATTCTTTTTTTGCAATAATACATCAAAAGTATGGGAAGAGATTGCTACATGAAGTCTTCCTCTCCTCTTTTTAATATTTATGAGTCTAAAGCTATAAAGCGGATTAAGCCCAATACAAGGTGGATTGTTCTAAGCACATAAGGCTAGGCTCAAGACAGTACGACAACAAGCACGAGCTTAAGTCAACGTTTTTAGCCTTCGGTATTTCTTAATAATAAAGAAACTATGGCCTCATTCGCTTCGCAGATTCGAGTTTTTAATTTGAGTTGAAATGTGACATTTTTTTTAGAACTTTTTACTGTAGCAAAATAAGTTAGATGTGACATTTTCTGAGAGTTTTTTACTGTAAAAACTTAGAACTAAAAACTCGAATCGGTGAAATGAACGAACCCTACATATCATCATGTAGAAGACTCCTACTATTATGTTAGTTGTGTGCTAGTCTCTTGGTGTTAGTTGTCCCTTCTTCTTTACAATACACACACACACATCATATTTGCAAAATTGTGATTGATGATATAGCATCGAGTATTTTTTGTTTGTAATAAATGTGAAATTATTATTTTCATTTTTTTTTTACTTTTAATGAATTGTTCCTTAATTTATTGAAGTGTTTAAGAATTTTTTTTTTCATTATACAAAACTATTTCAAAGGGGCTTTTTTAAGCATAATAAGGAAGCTACGGAAAAAAAAAAAAAATCCTGACCTACTTCTTAAATGTGCTGCTAGACACTGAGCAAAACAAGATGATTTACCATATACTCTGACTTGCATTAAATAATCTAAAAACAGCATCTATAAGTAATGTTCTAATTACCCCCTCAAGAAAAAAAAAAAAGAAAAAAAAAAGTGATGTTTTTATTCTAGTTTAGTTTATAGCTTTCTAAAGCAATTTTTCTTTTTTAGAAAAATTTCCGAAGGTGGAGATGCTACTCAATCAGATAATTACTTAGGGTGTTTGGTACGGTAATATTAAGGGTGGGACTGGGAATAGTATTGTGAAAGATTTCTGCGGGGAATTTCTATTACCATGGGTGGGTTTGAGGTTTGGGGCAATTCGGGAGGAATTTTTATGGGATTTGAAGATGGTTTTCCATGTTTAAGAACATCTCCGACTTAACATTATAATTGATGTGTCGGTGACAAATTTAATATTTAAGTGTAAAAAATACTTTCTAATATAGTATCATTTATTGTGCTAAATTTGTCATTTGATATATTTTATAGTAAATTTACTATCAAGTATAGCATATGGATAATTTAACATTTGATTGTTATGTGTTGATATATTTACACTTCTTCATTTAATCATTGTCTTTTCAAATTATTTTAAAATTAAAAGTTTACTTTTACAACTTCTAAAGTTAATGATTGTCATAAAAAATAAATTTAGCATTTGAAATAACATTATGCATTGAAGTACAAATAAAAATAACATGTCAAATATACCATTACTATATATAAAATTGAGTTGAGATGTGATTTTTGTTAGTTTCTCAAACCGGATTTTCAAAAAAAATTATGCGGAAGCGTGATATCGATTGAATCACATAAATCAAAATTTAATGGGATCATTATTTCATGTTAATTTAACTACAAAGATATTAAAGAAGGGAATGAGGATTTGACCGCCGTTCGATTATGACGTAAATCTTGAACTCCTCCAACACCGTCTTGAGCTCTTAAATTCTAAGAACACCACGGTTCCTTCTCAATGTATCTCCGGATTAACGTGAACTCGAACGTGTGGGCATTCTAATGGGTTTCTCAACACATGAGATGGATGAATGAGGAGGCCACTTATAGTTATCACTCACTTTTCTCAAAAGTATGTGATAGCACTCTAGAAATTTTCCCTTTTGGTTTTTCTTTTTGTTCTCCCATTTTTCACCCTTTCTCTTCTCTGGAAAAAATCCTATTAATCCACGCTGAGGATTAAAAACCATTCACACTGAGGAACTCCTTCCTCTCTGTCTGTGACCTTTTTCCTCATAGGGAGAAAACGTGCAACGGCACCTTTCTTCCCACTTCCATCTCCTTTTTTTTTTTGAGCTTTCTTATATATATATATACTCAATATGATATATTCAGTTCACATTAATCTTATGGAGCCATTGAGAGGAACTATGGACATTATTATTTTAAGCTCTAATAATTTTGATAATTAATTAACACCTTAATTAATATGTCAAAATTATTAATTCTAAATTACTCCACTATAAATTTAGAATTGCACTCTCAGAATAATAAAATAATTATGTTCACGGAATTTGTGTTGTCCATTGATATAGTCACTACATATGAATTAATCCTCCATAAACGGTTCATAATTAAAGTTAGGTATTTTCCGTTGACCTCTTTAATTATATCTTTCTCCACAAGTACCATTGATCCTCTAATGAATAATATATTTTATGATCCAATCATAAAATTGAGCGTTCTTATTATTCAAGTTTCGAATCAACACTTATGGGAACCGTCCATCTACTTCATTATGAAGGAATGGATTTCATCTTGTAAATTAATATTCCCGGCTATTTATTTTACTATGCTCCCAATATACCAAGACTTTGACACTATTCACATGTGTCATTACTCAATATGTCAAAGAACATAATATCATAAAGAGGAGTTTATTAATTACTCAGAATTAAGATTAATTCATATA